AGAGCGGCTACTTCTGATGTGCTCTTCACAGCTTACATGTATGTTCATAGATTCCGTGTTAAGATTTTTAGTTCAGTCGAGAAATACATGATTTTGAAAATATGAAATATTTTTCTTTACAGCGTGGATTCACACCATATTTGCTCTGTCTTCTCGAAAAGAAAGAGGAGATGGCAGAATTCTTGAAAGCAAAGGGTGCAGATGTGCATGCTGAGGTTGAATGGAAAAGGTACAGTTCCTCCTTCATAATCTTAGTGCTGTTCTTGAGTAGTAACAATCACTTAACTCAGGAATTCTAAACCGATAGGAGAAAGATTCACCTACACTCACAGGAACAGTGAGAAACAGCAACACCAATGAAGGGTCGAGTAGGAAAAGGGCTGTTCAGACTGCAACAGGAACAACAGTCTAAGCAGGTTCAGGGTCTCTCTTACCATGTACTGGCTTTCCTATTTTATGTCTAATTGGTTTTGGTCAAATGGCTTTATAGTAGCTAAGGGAATGTCATATTAGCATTGTTTATATTTAGAATGGGATTAAACTTACTTCTATGCGTAGTAGTGTTTTGCCTGCATGGCTCAGGTGTATCCATTTCTTGCAATACCAGTGAAAGCCAGAAGAGAGGGTTGGACTCCCTGGAACTGATTTATGGATGGTTATCAGCCACCATGTGAGTGCTGGGAACCTATCTTGAGTCTTCTGCAAGAGAAATTAGTGTTCTCACCTGCTGAGCCACCTGTCTCTCCCCAACATTGTTTGTTTTTATTTTTTTATTTATTTTTTACTTTTTTATTTTTTATTTTTAGTTTTTACTTTTTGGTCTTTTTGAGACAGGGTCTCTCTGTAGTCCCAGCTGAACTGGAACTCACTATGTAGACCAGGCTGGCCTCGAACTCACAGAGATCGACCTGCTTCTGCCTCCTGAGTGCTGGGATTAAACGCGTGCGCCACCACGCCTGACTGTTTTTGTTTTTTAATGTGTATTTTTATTGAATTTTTGTGCATTTCATATAAAATATCTTAATCGTCTTTATGCCCCTCCCCATCCACATCCTCCCATATCCCCCCACCCCCACCAGATTTCATGCATTCTGTAATATATGTTAAGGAAGGCCTATCAAGTCAATTTTGTGTATCCAGAAGTCCCTTGGTGCGAGTTCATCCACTGGGGTCTAGTCATTCTATCTAAAGCCTTTCCCTTAAAGAAGATCAGCTATCCTTCACCCAGCCATAATTAGCTGCCAATAGTTCTTTGGCTAAGTTTGGGGCCTGCTGGCCATTTCCCCAGTTCTCCACGGGGTTTTTGTCTAGTTAAGTTTGCACTTGCTGACCCCATTGCTATAAGTCCATATGAGTATGTACCCAGAGGCTTGGAAGACTCTGTTTCCTTATGATCATGGACCAACCCTGGCTCTTACAGTACTCGCAAAGCCACGTACAGACACACATCAAAAAGGTCATCCACTGTGATCAAATCGGCTTTTTTCCATCATTGTTTATTTTTAAAAGTATGCACTCAGTTTAATTTTTTATTCACAAGTAAATTCATAATGATTTCTTGGGAGTTCCATTCTGTTTCTTATATATTTTCTTTTCTTTCAAATGCTACACTCAGCACAAATATGTTTTCCAAAATGTCTCCTGTTCCCTTCTGTTTTATTTTTTTTGAATTGCTTTTGCAGAATACTAAGGTGAGGTTATGCATAATGAACAATTAAATGCTGTTACCAGATCCTTTGATTTCTTTTTCTTGTCCTCTCTAATTTGTTTTGATGCTGTGTTTGTCAGCTATTCATCTTTGTGCCCTAACACGTGAAACAGCTGAGGAGATGACAGATTGATTTGGGCTTATGGTTTCAAACTAAGGTGGTCTGAATTGTTTGCCTTAGGTCTGGGGCAAGACAGGGTATCATGGTAGAGGGCCCCTGTGGTGGGGAGAGGGGATTCAGCTCCTGGAAGCAAGGAAGCAGAAGACAGAGGAAGGTTGTAAAGATAGCATACACCTTCACAGGTATACTTGAAGAAACCTGCTTCCTCTAACTAGGCCCCACCCCCTAATAGACTCTCCTGCTATGAGCTCCTCTATGTCTTTTCTAAAAATATTTTATTTATTATTTTTATTTTATATGTATGTATGTATTACCTGCAGGTATGTAAGTGCACCCATGTCATGCAGTGCCCACAGAGGTCAGAGGAGGGTGTGGGATTCCCTGGAACTGGAGTTACAGATGGTGGTTTGCTGCGGCATGGGTGCTGCGAATCAAACCTGGGTTGTCTGCAAGAGCAGCCAGTGCTCTTAACCACCTAGCCATCTGTCCAGCGTCTAACTCCTCTGTCTTGATCCACCCATGAAAATAATAACCGTCATGGTCCAATCACCTGTCAACGGTGCTGCAATTTTGTGGCCGCTTCATGTTAAAACCATTAACGCCAGGAGATGTCTGTGTGCTTAGTTGGTATGAATAGAAAGGAAGAAAATAGCATTAACTGGATAAATGTTACCTTGGTGAAGATAAGTTATAGCTAGGTGACAAACAGGAGGTTTTAGATTCACACAAGCCTGGGTTTAATTCCTTGCTTTCTGTATGCTATATTATGACTGGGAACATTGCTGATAACTACAAATATCTCCTGCTATAAAAAGAAGATAATATTCATTATTTAATGTGGTACTGGAACTTGAACCAGTGCCACAAGCATGTTAGGCAAGCACTGTACATCCCCAGCCCAGTAAGATAACATTCTTTTATAAAATTATTTGTATTATGTGGGGGGCAGGGAGTCATGAGCAAGTACCCCTGGATACAGAAGATGTCAGACCCACCCCGCCCCCGAAGTGGATTTCCAGGTGTCTGTGAGCAGCCTCATGTGGGTCCTAGGAACAACTCCAGTTCTCTGCGAGAGCATTATGCACTCTGGATAACATTCTAGAAAGGCAGCTGTAATGTTGTTTATACAACACGTAGATCATAGCCTAGCATAAGTAGATCATCAACAAGTGTAAATGCTGCAAACATATTTTGTACTAATCTGTTTATAATATCAATGTTGTCATTTTAATGATGTAAATAACATTTTTTATTTGGAGCACTGGATGTTCTTGTAGAAGACTCAGGTTCAGTTCCTGGAAACTACATGGTGGCTTGCAACTGTGTGGGTGGTGGAACATGCCTTTAGTCCCAACACTTGGGAGGCAGGGGTTGGTGGATCTCTGACAACTAGGCCAGCCTGGTCTACATAGCCCTTTCTAGGGCAGCTGAGGCTATAGGGAGACCCTGTTTCAAAATGCCAAAAAAAAATCCTTTGTAGATTTCCAATGTAAATTATATTAGGGAATCAAACCAAAAAATGAAAATCATTTGGTAAATTGTTTTTAATGTAAATATTAAAATAATTATCACTTTTTTAATGTTTCACAGTGAGACAACAGGTTTAAAGTCAATCCTTAAGTCTGCACAGATTGGCACAGGTAAGATTCATAATAATATTTTGCTCTAGTTGGTCCTGCTCCAAGTAAAAAGTTTACTTAGAAAGAAGCGAAGAAAATTAAGTATGAATGCTGCTATATTGTTTCTTAATCAGTTTTCTAATATCCTAGAAATTTGGGGTTATTTATTAAATTAATTCTAAGATACTTCTAATACGGAACCATAGTGTCAGAAAATTTTTACTTTATTTTGGTCACAGATGTATGAAATGGTTGTTGTTATTACTATTATTTGTCTTTTTGAGACAGGACCAACTAGTGGCCCCAGATGGCTTAGAACTCTCTATGGAGACCAGGGTGGCCTTGATCTCAGAGAGTCCTCTGCATGGCTGGGATTAAAGACATATGCCACCATGCCCGTCTATATATGAAATATTATCATATAAAAATGAAAACTATGCTTTGGAAGGACAATTTCATTAGAGTTTAAAAGAGTGTATATCAAGTCAGGTAGAATATAAACCTCAGCAGATGCTCATATTAGAGTGGATAAAAAAATACTCATACTATTTAAGGTGGAATGAAGATCACACCCATGATGGATGAAAAGTCACATCACACAGAGAAAAAAAGATTTTTAGCATAGTACTGTGTATGTCCTTTATGTCCTGGATAGGTATATTATGGCAAATTGGACTTGTTATAAAATAGATTTTTCTTCGTTTTTGCAATATAGACATTTTATTTTGTACTTGAATACTTGCATGGTTTAACATCAGCATA